AATTTCTCACTTAAAAAAAAAAAACAACATTGAAAATGCCACATTTGTGGAACGAGCTCCTCCATGCACACAAAAATTAACCGTTTTCTGTTTCTTTGTGTTTTTGTTTGCCACTATTTTTTCATTTGCTACTTTTGGGAACCATGCAATATAACGCATAGCTAACTGACTGACTGACTGCCTTCCTTGCATATTGAATAACATTCGCAACATGTAGGTATGTATGTCTGTGAGGGTGTATGTGGAGCAGAAGATATCTAAGCATACTTCTTTTTTTTTGTCGGTTCCTTTCTAACGATTCGCAATACAAATTCGCGGAAACGCACAGCAACCAAAACACGCATCGCATCCATGCACCAAAACAAACACACGACGACGTTTTGAAACTTCTTCCACTGGCCACTGAGACTGAGATTGCATAGCCCCGAAAATGCTTAAACGAGAACAAGAAGAAAAAACAAACAAACAACAACAACAACAAGGAAACCAAGAATAAAGTGACTAAAATACATCGGAGAATACAGGACAACAGAAAAAAATCACCTGCAGTTTCTTAGAAATGAGGCCAAACGTAAAATGTTTTCAGTTTGTTGTTATTTTTGCTACACATGGATGAAATTTTATCAAGGTTACTGCTACACCATTTCCATAAGGTACCGTTTTTTAAAAAATATCAGGAACTATAGAAAATACCAAGCTCTATAAGATATCTGGAACCAAATATCATTGTTATCGAATACATATTACGCATGTGAAGGAGTTAAAACCCCAAATCGGATGAAATATATATATGGGAACTATAGTTATATCTGAACCGATTTTCACTAAATTTGACCTACTTGTTTCTAGTCTGAATTCGGTACGATCGATCTTGATAAAATTTGGCAGAGGGGTTCCCGAGCTCTCTAAGATATCTGGTACCAAATATCATTGTTGTCGAATGTATATGGAATCGGATGGAACATATATATGGGACATATAGCTATATCTGAACAGATTTCCACCAAATTAAATTTACTTATTTCTAGACCGAATTCTGTCGGATATGCCAAAATTCAGGTCATTTGGACTGATATTGGCCATTTGGTGCACAATTAACCAGAAATCCGTTGGAGATATATATGGGAGCTATATCTAAATTTGATTCGATTATCACCAATTTCAATAGAGTTCGTCCTTGGGCCAAAAAAAATATTGTTAGGAAAATTCCATCTCAATCGGATAAAAATTGTGACCTGCATTTTGTTCACAAGAATACATGGACAGGCGGACAGACGGGCTGACATGCATAGAACGACTCAGAAAGTGATTTTATGAAGATCCTCAAAAGTAACTATAGGTCTATCCCGCTTTCTTCTCCATGTTACAAACAAATGCACGAAGACATAATACCCTTACCTCTATGTGGTGTAGGGAAAAAATTGCTCCTCAGGAACTCAGGCAATTTTTTTATTAGAAAAAATCTTAATTTTTTTCTATTGAAAAAACACTCCTCAGAATGTGAGGCTAGTTTTTTTTTCTAAGGAAAAAACCTTAGGTAGGAACGCAGTCAATTTTTTTCCTATTGAAAAAATTCACGCCTCAGGAACGGAGGCAATTTTTTTTCTATAGAAAAAAATGCACGCTTCAGGAACGGAGGCAAATTTTTTTCTATAGAAAAAAATGCACGCTTCAGGAACGGAGGCAATTTTTTTTTCTATAGAAAAAAATTCACGCCTCAAGAAGTGAGGCTATTTTTTTCTCTATAGAAAAAAATTCACGCCTCAGGAAGTGAGGCTATTTTTTTCTCTATAGAAAAAACTTGACGACTCAGGAAGAGAGGCTATTTTTTTCTATAGAAAAAACTTCACGACTCAGGAAGGGAGGCTATTTTTTTTTTTCTATAGAAAAAACTTCACGACTCTGGAAGGAAAGCTAGTTTTTTTCTATAAAAAAAAATTCACGCCTCAGGAACGAAGCAAATTTTTTTCTGCAGAAAAAAATTTACGCCTCCGGAAGTGGGCCTATTTTTTCTATAGAATCGCTCCTCAGGAACTGAGGCCATTTTCAAAGCTGTTTTGAAATGGTGTACTACTGCAAGGAATTTGAAGCATCATCATCTAATATATTTCACACACAAATTTAAGAAAGGAAAAAAATAACAAAACAACAACATTTCATATTTGCAGTAGTTGTATCAACAACAACAACAATATGATCAACAGCATCCCCTAACTGGCGTCAACAACTTAACTCAACGCAAACAGCATCTCACTCTCTCGCTTGGTCTCTCTCTCTCTCTATGTCCGATCATCACTTGAGGCACTTGAAGAAGATGCATTTGCTGCTTGCTGTTGTGTGTAGTTAAGCTAGCTAGCTTGTTGTGACCCATTCATTGCTTACTGTTGCCGTTTGCGCTTGCTATTTGTTGTTGTTGTTCCTGATAATATTGTCGTTTGCTGTTAGTGTTGTTTAGTAGTTGTTGCCTTTCAGTTTGGTTACTTGTATTTCAAGGTTATTGGCGGCGGCATCATTGGCGGCAAACAATATTTTATTTGATTTAGTTTAGTGTGTTTACTTCAATTCCAGGAATTAAATTGTATACCCCAAAAACTGCTGCTCGCTTGCTCGCTCATATTCGGCAGTGCAAAGTATGAACGACATGCATGTCTCTTGTGCTACAAACGCCAAAAGAAAAAAAAACAGTGATCGAGCAAGTCAATCTGCTATGATATTGTGTGTGGAGTGCATTCTGAAATCCAGAATGTTATTTCTTTTTTTCTGGAAATTTTGAGAATCAAGAAATAAAATCGAACATAGGTCTTTTTTATTAATTCCAATATTGCCTAAATATAAAATTACATTCAGAAGAAATGTATGCAACACAAGGGGTGACACATGACACCATTGCTGGTGAGCTGGATTTTTGATGAGAGAGGGGGGAATGCTGTCTTAGATCCACAGATTTTTTTTAATGCAGATGAAATTGTTTTACTAAACTAAAACTAAAGATTTTTCAAGAGATTGGTGACATTTTTTCGGCACGTGTCGTACGGACCCTAAAAACCAAAATTGAACTCAATATCAAATTTCAGGATTCTGCAATCTACTTCTCTCTAGCCTAGGTACCAACAGTGATAAAATGTTTGTACCATTTAGTACTTTCCGAACATCTCAATTCCAGATACTAACAAAGACCTCAATATCTAATTTCGGAATTCCAGCCCAATCCTTTCACACAATACCATGTTAAGTACAACATAGTACTCTTTGTACAATTATAGCACACATTTTCCAAAGCCACCACCATATCTAAATTTCAGATACCAACAGAGAGCTCACTATCAAATTTCAGAATTGTAGCTCCATTCCTTCACCCAATACCGAATTTAGTACATTTTAGTACTTTTCCTACAAATATAGCACACATTTCCAAAACCAGCCCCATATCTTAACTACCGACACCAACAGTATCTAAATTCGATTTCAGGATTTCAGCTCTATTCCTTCACTAAATTTAGTACCATTTAGTACTTTTTGTACAATTATAGTACACACTTCCAAAATCACCTCCATATCTCAATTCGAAATACCAACAGGTATTTTAGGATTGCACCCCTATCCCTTCACTCAATACCAAATATACGAAATTTAGTACTATTTAGTACTTTTCGTACGAATAAAGGACTCATTTCCAAACCACCGACATATCTCAATTCCAGATACCAACAGAGACCTCAATATCAAAGTTGATGATTCCAGTCCAATCTCTTCATCCATTACCAAATTTAGTACCATTTAGTACTTTTCGCATAAGTTAAGGACTCATTTCCAAACCACCGCATATCTCTCGATATCTGATACCAACAGATATCTCAATATCAAAATTTGAGGGTTCCAAGACAATCCCTTCATCAAATTCCAAATTTAGTACCATTTAGTACTTTTCGTACAAATATAGTACCCATTTCCAAACCCACGGCTCAAACACAAATACCATCAGTAATATATATATCAAATTTCACAATTTTATTCCTTCGCCGAATACCAAATATAGTACCATTTTGTACTTTTCGTACAATTTTAGTACACATTTCCGATACAACCTCCTTATGTCCAGGCTACACATGAACAGCGGCCCTAATACCACATTTTTGATTTCAAGCATGATTTGTTCACCCAATCCCAAATTGTACCAAATATAGTACTATTTAGTACTTTTCGTGGACTTGTGGTAAACATTTACAAAACCGCCTCTTTATCACAAACCTACCGACAAGAGGGACCTTAAAGCAAAATTTCTAGATTTCAGCTTCATCCATTCACCCAATATGATTTTTTTCAAAATTTAGTACCGTTTAGTACAGTTCGCAAACTTAGCACACATCTCCAAAACCACCTTCATATATCAGACTTACTTTCCAACCTTGATTCTCATACCAAATTTCAAGGTTTTAGCTTTTTCCGTTCACATTATAGCAATTGTACCATTTTTAAAGTTTAGTACAATTTTAGAACGTTCCATAACCTTAAAGTTCGATTTCCAAAAAATCCCTTTGGTACATCTATCCGGTACACCATCGGTGACTCTCATTCCAAATTTCAGAATTGCCCAATACAAAAGTATTAAATTTTACTCAATTCAAGGTATTCGATTTTTAGTACTTTTCGTACCTTCTTAGTACCAAATTTACAAAAACGCAGCCTACAGGTATATGGGAATCTCTATTAAGTGTATTGGCCTTTAAAGCTATTTTTCAAAACGACGAAATAATTTCAATACTTTTCACTACAAAACTTAAAACTAATTTTTCAAAAAATGGAAATTGTTCCAAGGTATATAAATTTTGGTTTTATTGAATTCTGTCACTTTCTTCTCAGAATGCACTTTCAATATTTTTGTTTTTAATTCCAAAAACCACTAAGCTTATAAACAATTTCAATATCAATCCCATACGCATTGAAAGACAATTCAATTTATTTATAATTTCCAAATTTTTTTCTGCTTAATTTCATTGCAGCTTAAGAAATACAACTCCAGGAAAGAGAGAAGCCCATCATCCTGAAAAGTAAGCAAAAAAACACAGCGAACGCAGGACGGATTCATTCATCAAGCAATCGGATATTGCATTGAACATTCACAACAACAACAACAAATTAAATGCGAAAAACGCATTTTATTGGGATTACAAAAATAACAAAACAAAAATCGGTTTGGCAACAACGACTTCATTTCATAAACAACAAAAACGACAACAAGAACAACAACACCCTTTGCTGTCATCAAAAACAAGCAGCAACATCATCATCTCTAACCACAGCAGAAACAGTGGCCATTTGGAAAAAGTGTCGCTGTTTAAGAAAAAGAAGAAAAATTCAAAATTCATGGTTTGGCTTTTCTAACGTTATTCAACATAATCCCAATTTACAAAATACCAACAACAAAAACAATAACAACAAAGTATCTTAAAACTTCTTCATCCATCATCAAAATTTCTTTGAATGTCATCAAGTGCATCTGCCAGAGCAACGACATTTTGGTTTATGTGACATTTGGTTTTCATGTAAAGCAAAGAAATTATTCACTTCAGCATTTATACAAAATTCAAAAATTCAAAACGCAACAACTGCGAAATCGTCAAAAACAACAACAACAACGTCATTACATTTTTGGCTATACCCAAACGGCAATTATTTTTCTGTTAAAACAATCAAATTTATTCGTCGATTTATTTGTTTTTCTAATTTGTTAAATCTTCAATAAGGTGGTCTTTGCGATCCACTCTACGTACCTAACAACCAATCAACACATACCCCCACATCACAGCATCATGGATCCCCAACAACAGTTTTGTTTGAAATGGAATTCATATTCATCAAATTTGGCCATAACATTTTCAAATTTATTCAAATCGGATTTGCTGGCAGATGTTACACTATCATGTGATGGTAAGTAGATCATGTTTTTGTGTCATATTATAAAATTTTTAAAAATAAGGAGAATGAAGGAAACCTAGAGTTTTGTGAAAAATGAAGCATACTTTTAGGATGAGTTTAATATATCTTAATAGGTTAATGTTTACAATACATACAGGCTATAGACAATTTTGAAAAAAAATTGCATACTTATAGGCTTATTTTGTTCAAAAACGTAAAACCGAATAATTTACTAAATTCTTTGGAATAGCATTTGATCACCAAAGAACAGCATCTTTTACCTTTTCAAAAATAATTCGGATTTATTGAAGCGTATTTTTAGACATTAATTACATTTATGGCACAATTTTGTACTTCCAACAAGTAAGGAAAAGTCAAAAGTCGGGCGGGCCCGACTATGATGTAGGGAAACCAATATGCGTATTAAGTAGAGCTCCCATAACAATAAAATTTATTTGAAGTAGATCATACCACCTATCAAAATTTGGCTGTAGAGCAGTTATTGTTTGGTTTCAGAGCTAATATATGGGAGACATATGCAATTCTGAATCAATTTTCAGTAAATTTGACGGATATATTTTAATCTTTTATACCAAAAAACATTACTATAGAGTGCCTGATATGACTTCGAGAAGGAATAAATTTAAAAAAATATATATCGGAGCTGAGTTTCACAAAATGGAAACCTACGTCCCGAAAGCCGCTCCATTTGGGCTAATATTTGCCATTATATTCACAATAAACCTGAAATCGGATTAAGGATATATATGGGAGCTATATTCAAATCTGAACCAATATTGATAAAATTTAACAAGTATTTTTGGGCTGTATCTGACATCTGGTACCAAATATCAATATTGTCGAATGCATATTACGAATGTGAGGGATTTAAATACCAAACCGGATGAAACATATATATGGGAGCTATAGCTATATCTGAACATATTTTCTTCAATTTCGATATACTTGTTTCTAGATTCAATTCGGTCGGACGTACCAAAATTCAGGACTTTCGGACTGATTTTGGCCACTTGGTCACAATAAACTTGAAATCGGATTAAGGATATGTATGGGAGCTATGTCCAAATCTGAACCGATTTTGATAAAATTTAACGTAGGTATTTTTGAGCCTCATAAGGTATCTGGCACCAAATATCATTCTTGTGGAATGCATATTATGAATGTGGGGGACTTAAACACCAAATCGGAATTCGGTTGGATATGCCAAAATTCAAGTAATTTGAACTGATATTGACCATGTGGTGCAGAATTAACCAGAAATCTAAATCTGATCCGATTATCACCAATTTCAATATGGTTCGTCCTTGGGCCAAAGAAATATGGTTAAGAACATTTCATCTCAATCGGATAATAAATGCGACCTGCATTTTGTTAACAAGAGTAAATGGACAGACGGACGACAGATGGACTGACATGCAATTGACTCAGAAAGTTATTCTATGAAGATCATCAAAAGTAACCATGGGTCTATCTCTCTTCCTTCTCCGTGTTACAAACAAATGCACAAAGACATAATACCCTTATAACTATGTGCTGTAGAGTATAAAAACATTGCATACCTTCAGGAGTTTATGGGCATACTCTTTGGTAATACACTTACTTACCTGCATTTTGCCTAATCTTTATGGTTGTATGCCTTTGTATATATTTAGGATATAATGATTCTGTTTTAGCAGAATAAATGCAAGAAACCTTTTACAAAACTTCCTTTAGTATTACTTTTATCAAATTCTTGGAATTTTCTTAAAAAGATTGAATACTTTTAGTAGTTTTGTAATGGGGTAATGGACTGGAATGCGTTGGATTGAGAACCGTAATTATTTTTCTATATTTCCCAAAAAAAATGTACCCCTAGCGAAATGCTACAGCAATGAGATTCAAGTATTGAATCTTTAGCTAAATTTTGGATTTTTTAAGTTCACTCTCATCGTCACACTCAAAATCGCTGAATTATATTTGTTACAATTATTATGCTTATCCACCTGTTTCCTACAATGTTCAACGGTAAGAGTTGGCCCTTTTCAAAACTTTATAAAAATCAAAAGTGTTGCATATTTTTAGGCCGCATCTTTCCTTTAATACCAAATTAATTTTATTGAAGATTCATGTTTACTCTGGCCTCTTCAACTTTTTCCTGTTTTAATATTTTTTGACACAAATCACAAAAGCTTTAAAAAATGGTTACAGGCCAAAAACAAAAATCTAATAAAAAATACCTGACCTAACATAAGATTATATTATATTCAGAAGGAGAAAACAACAACAACAAGAAACCCAATAATAATGACGTGACGCCGTTGTAGACACAATCTTGATGTTTCATTTGATTTCTTTTTCGTTTCGTTTTTTTTTTTTTTTGTTTGCTTTTGCATTATTGTCCCTTTTATTTTCTCGTGTGTTTCAAAGGTGCCAGCAAAGGAATGGTTATGCACGTTCCTTGGTGTTATTATTATGACTTTTCTTCAAATTTTATGAAATGCTAATAAAAAAATAACAATAATAAAGAAAAACAAACCAAATGCCGGCAGACAAACAGACAGGCAATAATCGAAAGAAAACCCAAATAAGACGACAAGAAAATATTTGCGCCGCTTCAAGATTGTGAAAGGACAAGAAACTCGACATATCTATGCAAACGAAAGGAAAAAAAAAACAATGAAATCAATGTAAAATGTGAATGTTTGTATGTATGTATGCGTCTATGTACATATATTTAAATATTATATAGGTCTTTGATGAAATATCTAAATGCAGAACAACAATATTTATAATATTGCGCCAAGACGACAAGGTTTGGGTGACCTTTTTTTAAATAAAAAAATAGTATATGTATTTAACACGTCATCGTCATTTTGGCGAATATATAAAATAGAATTCAAGAGAATTGGGCTGTAAATTATGATTTTCACAAGAAATCGCCTTAAACTATGCAATATATTTTTGAATTCATGGAAATATTCGCTAATATTGCAGAGTCTTGAATACCTTTGTTATTATTTTTGAATCTAAAGTATGAACAGATACATTATAAAAAAAAACTTTTTATACCCTCCACCATTCGGAAGATACTTGAAATTTTTCAAAAAAAAAAAATCCGTCAAAAAATGTCGCTCAAATGAAAACCTTTATGTGGGGGCTACATGAAGACGAGGTGCTGGATAAGTAATTTTTTGTCATAGACTATAGTAACGATTCCGAACTTTAAATACGAAATTCGAAACAATTCCAGTGAATAATGTCGCTAGTATCATGAAAATACCGAATGTAGGAAGGTACCGTTTTATAGGGGGGCTATACGAAGACGTGGACCTGCATTGACAATTTTCCGTCACAGGCTGTAGTACCTATTAGGAACTTCATATACGAAATTTTAAACAATTTCTGTAAATATTGTACCTAAAATCATCTAAATACCGAATACCGGAAGGTACCGAAAGTACTTATAGGAAATTCCTTGTGTGGATTTTCAGACTATTCCACTATAAAAACGTGGCTAAAATTTTAAAAATACCGAATATCGGGGGGCACAGTTGTGAGGGGGATATACGCTATCGTGGACCTATATTGGGTATTCTCTTTCAGGTGGTAAAGAGCTCACAGGGAACTCCTTGAGTAGATTTTCAGACAATGCCATTGAAAAATGTGACTTAAATCATCAAAATACCAAATGTCGGAAGGTACAGTTATATTGGGGATATAGGAAATTGTGCACCAATATAGACAATTCTCTTTCAGGATGTAAAGTACTCAGAAGGAATGCCTTGTGTGGATTTTAAGCCAATTCCATTGCAAAAGAAATGTAATCTGATGGTAATACGTGCGAAACAACCCCCATTCTTCTCCTTTAAAAAAAATCGCCTAAAAATATGCAATGTTTTTTTTTTATTTTCTTGAAATATACACCAATTTTGTGGAGTCTTGAATACCTTTATTATTATCCTTATTTTTAAAACTAAAGTACGAACAGACACATTAGAAAAGCAATATATTAGTAGTGATTGCACGCCAACCCCCTTTCATCCTTACCAGACAAGCTTTACACTCGCTAAAGGTCACCTATTTTTATAAAAATATATGTATTTAAAACGTTATCGTAAGTTAGGAAATATTAAAAACAGAACACTAAAGAAATAGGCTGTAAAAATTATTTCCAGAACAATTCGCCTGAAAATATGCAATCAATTTTTTAATATTTAATTTTATTTAATATACAGCAATTTTAGAGAGTCTTAAAAACCTTCATTAATATTTTTCAAACTAAATTGTAAAAATATCCATTAGAAAAGTAATCTTTTAGTAGTGAGTGCACACCCTTCTTCCTCCCAATACTCAAGTCCTTTTTTTGGCTTTAAATATCATATATGAATATGAAACACTTTCGCTTGATGCCATAATAAAAAAGGGACAACATAAATATATTTCCAATCGCCTTGAGCCATATTTCTCATATGAAGTATATTACAAAAAATGCAGATGTTATTCCCCCTCTCGCCCCGCTTGTTGCAATGCCCGTAATAACACATTCATTACGGGCATTACAATTCACATTTGAAGACATAAAATGGACATACCTAAAATAATGAAAAAAATTTGGATATGATGAATATTAATATAAGAATGTGTTATTGTTCTGAAAAAAAAGAAAAACAACCTACCTCCCTCCAGTATATAACTGGGTAATGCGCTTCATTGGACTTGGACTGCAAAACTCTACTAAAAAGATTCTGCCTACCACAATTCATTGACGCATATATGTATATGAGGGTCCCTTCGAAACAGATGAATTGTCATCATCAAACAAAAATTCATATCGTATACTAAAACCTCACCCAAATAATTCCCCCCAAAAAATACTGGAGAACACAATTTTTTGATTTGTTTTGTTTTCATTACAAATTTTTTGTGCAACTTTTTTTGGGGGCCTGGGTTTTGGGGTTGTAGGATTTTTAAATAGAAATATGTGCATATTAAAAAACCACAATTTTCACAAA